TTCATGCTTAAAGAAGGTCACAAATCCCTTTCTCCCAACGACCTTCCAATACGGTCGGTGGGACCCTACTACCCAGGCAGTGAAGGTCATGCACCTCTTTGTTTTCAAGGGCTGGAGTCCTTTTCCAAGAGATAACTGAAGTACACGAGATTACATATCTGTTCTGTTAGCCGAACGATCCCTGTTGCGGGGCAGTGGCGGCCATCCTTCGGTTCCTCCTCCTCCTCTTCCTCCTCCTCTTCCTCCTCCCCCTCCTCCTCCTCCCCTCCTCCTCTCCTCCTCCCCCTCCTCTTCCTCCTCCCCCTCCTCTTCCTCCTCCCCCTCCTCCTCCTCCTCTTCTTCCTCCTCCCCCTCCTCCCGCTCCTCCTCTCCCGCCTCCTCTCCCTCCTCCTCCTCCTCCTCTCCCTCCTCCTCCTCCTCTCCCTCCTCCTCCTCCTCTCCCTCCTCCTCCTCCTCCTCTCCTCCTCCTCCTCCCCTCCTCCTCCTCCTCCTCTCCCTCCTCCTCCTCCTCTTCTCCCTCTCCCTATTCCTCCTCCTCTTCTCCCTCTCCCTCCTCCTCCTCTTCTCCCTCTCCCTCCTCCTCCTCTTCTCCCTCTCCCTCCTCCTCCTCCTCCTCCTCCTCTCTCTCTCTCCCTCCTCCTCCTCCTCCTCGTCGTCGTCTACCTCTCTCCCTCCTCCTCCTCCTCCTCGTCGTCGTCTACCTCTCCCTCCTCCTCCTCCTCTTCTCTCTCTCCCTCCTCCTCCTCCTCCTCCTCCTCTTCTCTCTCTCCCTCCTCCTCCTCCTCCTCGTCGTCGTCTACCTCTCTCCCTCCTCCTCCTCCTCCTCGTCGTCGTCTACCTCTCCCTCCTCCTCCTCCTCTTCTCTCTCTCCCTCCTCGTCGTCTACCTCTCCCTCCCCCTCCTCTTCCTCTTCTTCTCCTCTCCTCCTCCTCTCCCTCTCCCTCTACCTCCTCCTCCTCCTCCTCCTCCTCCTCTTCTCCCTCTCGCTCCTCCTCCTCCTCCTCCTCCTCTTCCTCCTCCTCTTCCTCTTCTCCCTCTCCCTCCTCCTCCTCCTCCTCCTCCTCCTCCTCTTCCTCCTCCTCTTCCTCTTCTCCCTCTCCCTCCTCCTCCTCCTCCTCCTCCTCTTCCTCCTCCTCCTCTTCTTCTCCTTCTCCCTCCTCTTCCTCCTCCTCCTCTTCTTCTCCTTCTCCCTCCTCCTCCTCCTCCTCCTCCTCCTCCTCCTCCTCCTCCTCTTCTTCTCCTTCTCCCTCCTCCTCCTCCTCCTCTTCTCCCTCTCCCTCCTCCTCCTCCTCCTGCTCCTCTTCTCCCTCTCCCTCCTCCTCCTCCTCCTCCTCCTCCTCCTCCTCTTCTCCCTCTCCCTCCTCCTCCTCCTCCTCCTCTTCTCCTCTCCCTCCTCCTCCTCCTCCTCCTCCTCCTCCTCTTCTCCCTCTCCCTCCTCCTCCTCCTCCTCTTCTCCCTCTCCCTCCTCCTCCTCCTCCTGCTCCTCTTCTCCCTCTCCCTCCTCCTCCTCCTCCTCCTCCTCCTCCTCCTCCTCCTCTTCTCCCTCTCCCTCCTCCTCCTCCTCCTCCTCTTCTCCCTCTCCCTCTCCCTCTCCCTCTCCCTCCTCCTCCTCTTCTCCCTCTCCCTCCTCCTCCTCTTCTCCCTCTCCCTCCTCCTCCTCTTCTCCCTCTCCCTCCTCCTCCTCTTCTCCCTCTCTCTCCTCCTCCTCCTCCTCCTCTTCTCCCTCTCCCTCCTCCTCCTCTTCTCCCTCTCTCTCCTCCTCCTCCTCCTCCTCTTCTCCCTCTCCCTCCTCCTCCTCCCCCTCTCCCTCCTCCTCCTCCCCCTCTCCCTCCCCCTCCTCCTCCTCCTCTTCTCCCTCCCTCTCCTCCTCCTCCTCCTCCTCTTCTCCCTCTCCCTCCTCCTCCTCTCCCTCTCCTCCTCCTCCCCTCTCCTCCTCCTCCTCCTCCTCCTCCTCTTCTCCCTCTCCTCCTCCTCCTCCTCCTCCTCCTCTTCTCCCTCTCCTCCTCCTCCTCTTCTCCCTCTCCCTCCTCCTCTCTCCCTCTCCCTCCTCCTCCTCTCCCTCCTCCTCCTCCTCCTCTCCCTCTCCCTCCTCCTCCTCTCCTCTCCCTCCTCCTCCTCTTCTCCCTTCCCCTCCCCCCTACCTTACCCTCCTCTTCCTCTTCCTCCTCCTCACCCTCTCCCTCCCCTTCCCCTCCCCCCTACCTTTACCCTCCTCTTCCTCTTCCTCCTCCTCACCCCTCCCCTCCCCTCCCCTCCCTCTGTTTCCTCCCTCTTCTCGCCTTCCTCCCGCTCCTCCCTCCCTTCTTCAATTCCCCCTTCTTCTTTCTCTTTCTCTTACTCCTTCCTCTAACTCCTCCACCTACACCTCTACCTTCTGTTCTGGGAGGGAGGGAGGAATGCAGGCCTCTCCTGAGTAATTTCTTACCTTCTGTTAGTTTTTATTTTGTTAACCCTCCCATTCTCTCCAGTCATGCCTGTTTCATTTGTTTCCCCTTTTTCTTTATGATTTTATTTAATTGATTTTTAAAATCTTCTCATTTCTCTCCTTTTCATTCCTCATTTACTTCCTCTCGTCCTCATGCTCTATATTTCTCCCTCTACATCCTTCCTCTTTCTCTCCCCCTCTACATCCTTCCTCTTTCTCTCCCCCTCTACATCCTTCCTCTTTCTCTCTCCCTCTACATCCATCCTCGTTCTCTCCCCCTCTACATCCTTCCTCTTTCTCTCTCCCTCTACATCCATCCTCGTTCTCTCTCCCTCTACATCCTTCCTTTTCCTCTTCTTTTTCTGCCCCCGCTTCCTCTTTTTTCTGCCTCCTCCTCCTCCTATCTTAGAATCAATTTTGTAATGAAATATTCACCATACTCTTTGCATTCTCTTTGTGGATAACGAGTTCAACTGAAGGTTTAAAAAATTAAGATAGTCTCCCTTTAGAAATGTGTGAGACAAGGAAAATGGTTGCGGGAGAAGGGGAACTCCCAATTTTTTTGGAACCCAAGGCTTGCGAGAATTAGGAAATTTGATGGTAAGCAGACACTGCTGTCATTATTATGAAAGTAGATGACTCGATATGCTGTCTGGGAGATAAACGAGCGTCACACATCCATGGGAACATTCCCCCAGACTCGGGCGCTTTTCACTCCAGTAAGAAGCGATGGCATGGCATGGCGCGACAGATTGCCCTTGCATAATTTGGATTTGCAAGCCTTGGGCAGAGTAGCGTTCTCTGCGTCATCAGCGATTTTCACTGCAATAGATCTGCGTCACGTGTTCCCTTCTATAACGCGATCAGCACCATTCAAGGTCCTTTAAACCATGCTCGGTCGCCACCTTCTCCGGGGTCCAGCCTCGTCACCCGTCTCGCTCGTCGTCAAGGATAGCTTATTTCCAACTTCACTTATTGTTTTTTTACGCCTCCAGTTCCGGGAATACGGGTTTTCATATTACTGCCTGCACAATTATTTCCTTCTTTTTCCTGCTTTTCCATCTTTCTCCGTATTGTCCATTTCATTCTTCTTATCCTTATTGTTGTTGTTCTCCCTTGTCCTAATCCTCTACTTTCTCCCCTACTCTCCCCTCCCCCTTATCCTCCTCCACTTCCACCTCCCCCTCCTCCTTATCCTCCTCCTTATCCTCCTCCACTTCCACCTCCCCCTCCCCCTTATCCTCCTCCACTTCCACCTCCACCTCGAGGATTCGTTTTATTATATTTGCTTCTTCATACCTGCTTAAACCTCGACCAGATTAGAGAAACGAACAAAAGCAGAAAGCCGGTGAACTAACCTACCCCAAGGATGTTATCTCACTCTCATGTCTTTCCGTGCCCTCATTGTCACTGTTCCATTTCCCTCCTCTTCCTCCAACTCCTCCTCCTCTTCCTCCAACTCCTCCTCCTCCTATCTCCTCTTCACTACCAGCACGGTCATCATCGCCATCCCTTAACCATCACCATCATCTCCATCGTCGTCGTCGCCATCGTCGTTCTTCTCCCGCCTCCCTCTCTCCACTCTCCCTCTCCCCTCTGCCCGCTATTGTTTCTCTTCAGGTCCACAATGGCATGGGTTCTGACCTGTCACGGCGCATCTCGTGTATCTTGCAAGATGATGTATCTTGACACGTCGCCTTCCACTTCCCCTTCCCTTTCCTCTTTCCCCCTCCTCCTCCTTCCTCTCCCCCCTCCCTCCGTCTTCCCTCATTCACCCCTTCTCCTTTCTCTACCTCTCTCTCATCCTCTCCCTCTCCCTCTCTCTCACCCCCCTCACACCCTCCCTCTTCCCTTCCTCCTGTCCTCGATTCTTCCTCTCAGCTTCTTCCCCTACTTTTTTCCTCACTTATTTTTCTCACCTCCTCGTCTACACTCTTTCCTCCTTTTTTGTTCCTTTATTCTTCGTTGTACACATCTCCCGTCTCCCTCCGTACTTCTCCCTCTCTTTTCCCTCCTTCTCCTTCCCTTTTCCTTCCTTCCA